TTCAAGGTTCATGGTAAATGTGTCTGTCAGCATAACACAGATGGCCTCAACTGTGAGAAATGTAAAGAATTTTATAATGATGCACCATGGAGTCCAGCAATTGGCTTTGAAGACAATGCATGCAAACGTAAGTGTTCAACACGTGGTAAATCATAGTTTGAAGAATTACTTCAAGCTTCATATACTATACCACAATATCCATCATCAGCTATGAACATCATTATGGTAAACATATTCGTATGTGGTACATGTGTAAGATATGCATGATTTCAAAAGTTGAAGTGTACTAGCTTTAGGTTGCTACACATTTTGAAAGTTAAAGTGTAGGCATAATTACCTATTTATGTATTTAGTTAGTTTGTTTTGGATATAGTAGGATAGCATTAGAACCCCTGTCAGGTTTTTATTGCTCGCTGGGTTAATTTGCCTTGCTTACGATTGTCTCTGAGTCAGAATATAATGAGAAATCCAAAATTGTTATCAACAGAAGAAAGGTTGAGGGTAAATATTCCAGTGGAGACACTTTTTCTAATAAGAACTGTCCAAGTAGAGCAGGGGTCATCAACCTGTAGATCGCGATCTACCAGTAGATCGTGGCCAGGTGACTGGTAGATTGCGGTCTGGGATTGCTGACCCTCCATCCCAGAGCATCAAGCAGAGTGCAATGTAGAGAGACTACTTGTAAAGTTGGAGCTGTAGTAAGGAGCAAGAGCTGCACAATCCAATGCTTCCTCTGAAGCGCTGGCTCCTGTCCTATGTGGAGTGATAACAACTGCACTCCACTTATTATCCCGGCTAGCGGTCTCCAGAGTGGTGCCAGCATCAGGAGAAAAGAGATCTTCAGGTCAGTATGATGTAATACACTGGGCATAATAGTATAGGGCTGCTTTCACACTGATGTGCTGCGGTTAACCCACACCATGGGAGCTGTGCAGTGTACCTACAGCTTTCCTGTGGGTTTGCTGCACTCAGCCATATACTTTTATTATATACTGTGGGTTTTGTTCAATTTCTGAAAGTGTACCAAAACTTCTGAATGTAGGAGTTATGGTGCTCTTTCAGAAAGTGCACCACACCTGCAGGATATAATACAAGTCTATGGCAAAGCACGGCTAACCAAGGAAAGGTGCAGAGTGTGAAAGCAGCCTTATAGGGACCTCAGAACAGTAAGGGTTCATTTACATTTGCAGTTTGGGAGGTAGTAAAACCCCATATTTAAGACTTGTTTTTACCACCCCTGCCCCAAGTTGTTGTTTTTACCACCCCCCTTTAGCTTCAGTGATCAGGGGTGTACACGTGTCACAGCTGCAGCAGGAGTTATATGCCCTGCCATAGTTGGTCGGTGTAGCACCTGACAAGAATGACCCATTCAAGTGAATGGGGCTGTTCTGCAAATGCCCTGAAACCTTGTGCAGTACAGCAAACAAGGGGTTAAAGTAGGCAGCGCTGTGTTACTTTCTCACCACCTGCTAACTGCTTGGACCCCACAGAACATGCACTTGCAGAGTGGCCCCATGTACTTGAATGGGTCGAGATTAGCAGACAGTAGCACCCACCAAAAGCAACAGCGGGTTTAATTACTGCTGTGGCATATGTACACCTTTGGCTGCTGCCTCAGCAGCTAAAGGGGCTAGGGATTGGGGGCGGTAAAACTGTGACTCAACCACAGGGTTTTGCCACCCCCAGCTTTATGTATGAACAGGCCCTAGGTGTGCCACTGCTGAATGCAACTAAGGGCTCATTCTCAAGTTCAGCAGGCACTGCTGCTCCTCTAGAAAAGCCATCTGAGTGTGTTTGACAGGTGGTGAGGAGGTGATAATTTGTTTCCTAACCACCAGATTTAATCCCATGATTGCCGTACAATGCACATGATTGCGACATGGTAGTACGGCAATTAGAGGTTCAAATCAGGTGTAAGGAGGCAACACTGGGCCCAGTTATATTTGACTTCTCCCATGTTGTTCAGGTAGATCTCCACCTCTTTAAGTTTGTCTGCTTCTGAAATAGAGTGTTTCCCTCATGTTGTAAAGATGTTCTCTCATTTCATGTTGCATTTCTAGAATAGTAAGGGGAGCAATATCTCCCTTTTGAGAAACAGATAGAAAAAATAAATTTACAGAGATCTTACCTACTCCAAAACTAAGAAATTATTTATTTTATACCTACACTTTAATCAATGAGCATTGGAGGTATCTTTTTATACTTATGTGAAAATATGTGCATCTATCATGTCGGTGTGCCTTATTATATATAGGAGACACAAAAAACAATTATATGACTTCTTCTGGTGTGTGTAATAAATATATGTACCTTCTTCCTGTAATGCCCACTAGCTTCATTCAACATGCTGGAATAGCCCCTTTATATGTCAAAATATTAGAAGGTGGATTCTGGTCTTGGTTTAGGGTGGCAGCACAAAAGTCAAATCCTTGTAAGGGATGTGCCTGATTCTAGAATCAATTACAACAATTCAGTAAAAATAGGGACTGGTAGAAAATTCTCTATAGCACAATGACCGTCAGTTCTTTAACCAACTAAATATAAAATTAAGTTTAGTTTATTGTAAAAGTCAGGGAGGCAGCTATAGTAGATCTTAGCGCTATGGTTATGTGTTCAAAGACAGATGTCTGACTGCCCATAATTCTCTCTGGGATATGTTCTTGTCTGTGGCTAGCTCTAAGTTGACCATACACTAGTAGAGTTTTGTTCAAAATGTTTTGTTTAATGAACGTTCATTTGATTTTCTAATGCAAGGGTAGGCAACCCCGAGCACTAGTGGTGGAGGTGGCATGCCACAGCATCAAGGATGGCACCCACAGGGAGTCCTGGGAGACCCACCTCCCAAACAGTAAAGCTGGCCAGTGGCTCCATACAGAAGAAGCAGCACAGCTGGTGCCCGCCCCTCTCTCCCCCTCTGGTTTTGGTTCCTACATTGCTTTCTCCACACTGAAGCTGTGTCAAGTCAGATTCCCCAGGTTGCTTGTTCTTACTTTGAAAGGGTAATTATATTCAGTATATTTCCTCCTCTGTGGTACAGCACTCTTTTTTTATCCTGAGCGGGCTCATGGCCAGGCTTTTACTATTGGTGTACCTGCCCTACCTCTGAACATTTCTCTCCCTCAGCATCCATGCGCCTGGCTCAGCTTGGAGGGGATATAGCCAGAGAGATTTATCTTCAAATGGCTATTAACCCCTTCCCACAGCAGTCTTTTATGAGTAACAAGTGCAGGAATTGGAGTGGGCTGAGGTGTGAAAGCAGAGAATAGACAGGTAGCGCACACACCTAGTGCAATTATCCAAGGTTTATTGAAAGGTATAAAAGATAAAAACATACTCACAGACGGAGCATGTATCTAAAAAGCATTTGCATAATGACGATGGCCACAACGGCAAGCAAGGTGTTCCAACTGTCAGTGCGGTCAAATGGCTGATGCGTTTCGGGGATGAATCCCTTTCCTCAGAGCTACTGACCAGCTTCTGGTGCAGATGTGTAGTGGATGGATGATGGGAGCCTTGCTGGTGATGCCTGAGGTGTGAAAGCACATTAATTAGGTGATCAGAGGTGTGAAGGTGCAGGATTTTGGGTGATCTGAAGTGTGAAGGTGCAGTAATTGGGGTTATATAAACTGTAGGGGTGCAGGAAATAGAGATGATCAGAGGTGCAAAGGTGCAAGTATTTGGGTGATTTGAGGGGGGAAAAATGCGGGAATCAGGATTAATCTGAAGCCTAAAGGAATTGGGGCTGATCTAGATTGTAAAAAATGCAGGAATTGTGGTGATCTGAGTTGAGAAGGTGCAGGAATTGGGGTGATCTGAGGTGTGAAGGTGCAGGAATTGGGGCTGATCTGAGGCTTGGAGATGCAGGAATTGGGGCTGATCTGAGGTCTGGAGGTACAGGAATCGGGGTGAGGTGAAGGTGAAGGAATTAGGGTGATATGAGTTGTAAGGGTACAGGAATTGGAGATGATCAGAAGTGTAAAGATGCAGGTATTTGCATGATCTGAGGTGTGAAAATGCTGGAATTGGGGTCTGAAGGAACAGGAATTGGGGCTGATCTGGGTTGTAAAAATTCAGGAATTGGGGGTAAACTGAGGTCCAGCGGTGCACAAATTGGGGTAACCTGAGGTGTGAAGGGTGCAGAGATTGGGACTGACCTGAGGTGTGAAGGCACAGAGATTTGGAATCACCTGAGGTGTGAAGGTGCAGAGATTGGGACTGACCTGAGGTGTGAAGATTCAGATATTGGTACTGTCCTGAGGTGTGAAGGTTCAGATATTGGTACTGTGCTAAGGTGTGAAGGTGCAGAGATTGGGACTGACCTGAGGTGTGAAGGTTCAGATATTGGGACTGACCTGAGGTGTGAAGGTTCAGATATTGGGACTGACCTGAGGTGTGAAGGTGCAGATATTGGCACTGACCTGAGGTGCGAAGGTGCAGATATTGGGACTGACCTGAGGTGTAAAGGTGCATGTAACGGAAGCGTAGGCAGAACAGAGCACACGGAGAAGATGGGGAACACACAAACTTTATTGAAGCAACAAATTGACAGACACTCAATAGGGAAATGGCAGGGAGCGTGTGATGTGTGCGCAAACCAGGGACTATTCCAGGCACGGGGGGGGGATCTTCAGCGGACAGGCAGGCAATCTCCCCCCCTCGACTTGGGGCCTCAGCCGAGTTCCCTCCGTGACTGGACAGCGGATTGGAGACTCGGGCAACAGGTGGCAACCTACCACTGGGCAGGGGCCTTGGGCAACAGACGGCAACCTACCACTGGGCAGGGGCCTCGGGCAACAGACGGCAACCTACCACTGGGCAGGGGCCTCGGGCAACATGCGGCAACCTACCACTGCGCAGGGGCCTCGGGCAACAGACGGCAACCTACCACTGGGCAGGGGCTTCGGGGACTCAACGGGACTCTAGCTGTGGAGGCTGGCCACAGCACAGCTCCCACCCAGCTTTCTAGGGTCATTGGGTTCACAGGGACTCAACAGGTAGCGATGGCTCAAGCACTCAGGGGCACCACAGGTAGCTATACTCTGGGCATGCCATCAGGACACGGGTGGTCAGTGCACACACAGCGGGGCGGTTCGGAACATGGGTGGTTGGTGCACACATCGGGGACAGTTCAGAACATGGGTGGTCGGTGCACACAACAGGAACAGTTCAGGACACGGGTGTGGGTCAGTGCGCACAACAGGAACAGTTCAGGACACAGGTGGTCAGTGCACACAGCAGGAACAGTTCAGGACACGGGTGGTCAGTGCACACAGCAGGAACAGTTCAGCACACGGGTGGTCAGTGCACAAAGCGGGGACAGTTCAGGACACGGGTGGTCAGTGCACACAACAGGAACAGTTTCAGGACACGGGTGGTCAGTGCGCACAACAGGAACAGTTCAGGACACTCACGGTAAGCAGCTTGCAGACCCTCAGCGGCAGGCGGCTCCAGACAGGGATGACCAGCGGTCAGCGTTCCAGGGACAACCAGCGATCAGCAGACAGCAGCAGCTCCCAGGGCACTCAGCAGCAGACAGCCTCCAGGGACATGCAGCCATGGATAGTGTGCAGGGTCCCTCAGCCACAGCTCCCAGGGCACTCAGCAGCAAGCAGGGTGCAAGGGTGCTCAGTAGACAGGCTTACAGACTGGCAGGGTCTCAGCTGTGGGGTCTGACCTTTGAGGAGAAGGCTCATGCAGAGCTGTGGAGACTCCCAACCCTGGGGTATTGTAGAGGGCTAGAGTCCTGACCTTTTTGGGGGTCTGCAGAGTGCGCAGGGGGGATTGCTGGGGAGGCTCGGTCCCCCTCACCCGAGCCTCCCAACATCTTTCTGGGAGCAGGATGATTCTACCCACATGGCCAGGAACAAAAGGGAAGGCTGCTTCCTGTGTGGGTCTCTTGAAGATCATGTGGGACGCGGCTAGGTTGCCTCGGCAACGCTTGGCCCAGCCCTGTCCATGGAAGCCCCACAGACCTTCTAATGTACAAGGAGGAAGGGAGGGGGGTGGAGGGATATGGCGGGGGATGGGAGAGGCACTGGCAGTCTGTGACAGTGCAGAAATTGGGACTGACCAGAGGTGTGAAGGTACAGGAATTGGGTGATCTGAGGCATGAATATGCCCAAATTCGGGCTGATCTCAGGCTTGGAGGTGCAAGAATTGGGGATGATCAGAGTTTCCGGGGGTTCCGGAATTGGGGCTGATCTGAAGCCTGAAGGTACAAGAATTTTTGCTGGGGACTGGGGTCTGAAGTTTCAGTAATTGGGGGTAAGCTGAGGTGTGAAGGTGTAGGAATTGGGGCTGATCTGAGGCCTGGAGATGCAAGAATTGGTACTGATCTAATGTGTGAAGGTGCAGGATTTGGGTCCAAACTGAGGTGTGAAGGTGCAGGAATTGGGCTGATCTGGTTTTTGAAAGTACAGGAATTGGGGTGATCTGGGGTGTAAAAGTACAGACATTGGGGTCATCTGATGGGTGAAGGTGCAGGCATTGGTGTGAGCTGAGATGTGAAGGTGCAGAAAGTGGAGCTGATCTGAGGCCTGGAGGTGCAGGAATTGGGGTGATTTGAGGTGTGAAAGTGCAGGAGTTGAAGCTAATCTGAATGTAGAGGTGAAGAAATTGGGTCTGATCTGAGGCCTGAGGAAATAGGAATTGGGGCTGTCTGGGGTGTGAAAGTGCAGAAACTGGAGCTGGTCTGAAGCCTGAAGAAACATGAATCTGGAGTGAAAACATGAATAGCTTTATCTAGGGTGTAAAAGTACATTTGGGTGAACAGAGGTATGAATTGGGCTAATCTGAGGTTTGAAAGAGCAGGAATTTGGCTGATCTGAAGTGTGAGGGTGCAAGAATTGATGTGATCTGATGTGTAAAGGTACAGGAATTGGGGTGATCTGAGGTGTGAAGATGCAGGAACTGGGGTGATCTGAGGTGTGAAGGTGCAGGAATGAGGGCTGATTTAGGGTCTGAAGGAGCAGAGATTTGGTTTGATCTGAAAGAACTTTATTTGGATGACCAATATCACCTCACACTTCATTTACAACTCTATATTTCGCAGAAGTCCTCAGTTGACATATTCATATTCATGTCAACCTTACCATACTTTCCTCACACCACATGTGTTCTGGAAAAGGGGTGAGTTACCATTTACCATCCTTGAAAGCTCCATGTTTTCTTACTATTATTCAAATAGTTTACAGCATTTACTGTATAAAAATTCCTTTTTCATGATTGAGTGTGTAAAGTTGACAATTTTTATATGACTGGCGCTCTCAATTTTGAAAACATTTTTCGGCACACCATGCTCAAAAGGTTGCCTACCCCTGGTCTAACGGTTACTGAGGTCAAATCAATGTTCATTTTCTACCGCCATGATGAGAAATTTTGAATGAGCAAGATGGACATTTTTAATTGAACAAACACATTTCTAACAATGAATGTGGTTTTCATTCATTCCAAAACCAAATGTTAAAAGCAAACAACATTTTTAAATACTTTTGAACTGTATTCCTCAAGTCATCAAATGTACTGAGAATTTTGGTATGAATGTTCGTACAAAACATTTGTTCAAAAATCTACTGTGTATAGCCAGCTTTAGAATAAAAAGTAAAACATAGCGGTTGTATTTGTGCAATATGGGCTGATGTACTAAAACTGGAGAGTGTAAAATCTGGTGCAGCTGTGTGTGGTAGCCAATCAGCATCAAACGTTAGTGTGTTCAATTAAGCTTTGATAATAAAATCTGGAAGCTGATTGGTTTGCCATGGCTATACAGAGCTGTGCCAGATTTTACGCTCTAGTTTTAGTAAATCAACTCCATCATGTTTTTGTGTTAAAGTGTATCTCTAGGCAAAACCTTTTTAGTTTGGATAAAGTGGGAAAGGATTAGTCCTTCTGTCAAGTTTTTATTGCAGTCTGGGTCCCCATTGGAGAGATCAATCAGATGTCTTCATTGCACACCAAAGTGGAATTGGACCTTGTATTTCCATCAATGCATGGATGACACCATGGATGAAAAGTTGTAAAGGAACTTTGTAAATTCTGTATGCTTGAGGTGATTGTAGCCGTATTAGTGCACTTGCGACAGAAACAATTGAGTACTGACGTGATACTTTTTTTATTTGCACTAACATACAATTTTGAGGACAAGCTTTCGGGGATCGTTCCCTTCTTCAAGGTCCAGGCAGTAACTACTACAAAGTTTTAGCAGAATGTTAGAAGAGATGTTGAAAGGGGGAGAAACAAAGAAAAAAAAAAAAACCAGAAAGAAACACACACAAAAAAATGTACACAGCAATGGTTATAAGACTAGGATTAGACTAGAGATAAGACGCAGCAAAAGCAGGGGGGGGGGGGACAACACTCACAGAGGGGGTCGTAAAAACTGTTGGATAATGAGTGAGGAATCCCATGTCCAAATTAAGGCCGTTATCTTTTGTGTCAAATAGAATTATCATTCTTAGTTCAAATGTTTTCCTTTCCTGGGTAGTTTTGAAATTTCCTTTAAGAACTAAAAAATTGAGGTCTCCCATAGTGTGGTCCGGTTGTGCGAAATGGTGTCCCACAGGTGTGCAGAAATCATCTTCTTTATGTTCCTTGATGGTAGTTTTGTGCAAATTCATCCTTGTTCACAACTTCTGTCCTGTTTCGCCAACATAAGATCCTTTGCTGCATTTTATGCACTGGATAAGGTACACAACATTACTAGAGGTGCAGCTGTATGATTCAGAAATAGTGAAGATCCCTTTTGAGTGTCTGACACTTTTTGATGGATTGATTTGGATGCACAATTTGCAGCATTTTTTATTGCAGGGTTTGCTTCCATTATTTGTGACATCTTGATCAGAGGGAAGTTTCCTACTGATTAGTTTATTTCTGAGGTTGGGGGGTTGCTGTATTGTATTGTATTGTATTGGGTTACTGTAAAGCCAGTATTGGGGGTTGCTGGAACATTTCTTTCAGAGTTCCATCCTCTGTTATGATGGGTTGTAAATATTTGATTATTTTTCTTATTCCTTCTAGTGCTGGGTTGTATGTGGTTACTAGAGGTGCACAGTTTGTTTTTTTATAAACTCTGTATAAAATTCTGTATTCTATTTTGTATGCTTTGCCTATGTATTGTACACTGCACTCATTGTGCACACATAATGTTTTCAGTTTGTTTGAATTCCTTCAAAACCCTGATTAGAAATTAGCCTGCCTATGTAACGTCCCATACCATAAAGTACAATTGTAATATGAATGTGAGAACTACATAATTATGTGTATAAAAAAAACATCAAATGCGCTGAATAAACAAAATAGTGATTTGGAAAGATGTTGAGTGTATCTTTTTGTGTTTGTTCTCTACTACAGTAGTTATTATTAATTTGGAACCACTAATCAATACGAGGATAGAGTTTCAATATCTATACAATATTCAGTATTAATGTCCAGAACAAAGTATAAAACATACAGTATGTCAGCAGCCTCTTCATGCAGAGTTCTTTCCTTCTTTAATGCATCATTGCACAAGTCACCTTTCAATCCAACATCAGGAAGGCAATGTGAAATTAGAATGTTATGAACTGGTTCCAAAATGTTGCACTGACCTGGGACTTATGCAATTAGTTATAATTAATGAAAGAACTCTGTATGGAGACACAGGGACATCTGTCTAAGGGCTCATGTACACTGGGCATTTGGTAAACTCTTCTGACCGCTGGAAACTGACTGCTAGAAAACGTAGGTTAAAAATGTCAGTTTAGCCGCATTTGCATACCGCATTTATGCGCCTTTATGCACATTTGCGTTTAGAAGCGTTTTTTAAAAAATGACCTCAGTGAGACCCTCCCAAATGCCCAGAATGCACTGAAAAATTGTACATAATGAACTATTTCAGACATTTTGAGAGAAATAGAGAGAGCAGAAGCAGAGAGAGAGCAGAAGCAGAGAGAGCAGTATGTGTTGAGATTACCTGTTCTTTTCTGGTTGTATTCACTATGGATCCCAATATGAGCATAATGCATCACGTTCTACCACTCTGTCCTTCACGCGAAACCTGGAACTGACTGCACTGGTGTTCTAGGTCCATTTGAATACATGGAAAACACTTTGCATTAATTTTTAATGAAGAAAAAAAAAAGGCTCTGGACAGCATCTGGATATGGACTTCTCAAAAAAACACATCTAAACGCAAACGTTTGTAAAACGCGGTTAACCGCATTTAAAAGCATTTGGTGTTTGAAACGCTGCTAAAATCTACTCCTGAATGCAATTTTTGGTGCGTTAAAAAAAAACAACTGTAAACTCAACTTGCCATTGTAATCGACTATGCATACATGGGCACATAGGTAAGCATAAAGGAGAGTTCAGGGCTGCTAAAAAAAAAATGCCTCAGCAGCTTCTGAACGTCAGTTATAGCAGCTACAATATACATGAGCC